TGTTTTTGCTGGTGTCTTTTGTGATGGAGAACTGGCCCTGTAGAGACTGAGCATAATACACTTGAGCCAGTGTCTATATATCCAATCCACTCCAGTCCTCTCCCTGGTTTCTGACGGATCCAGGTCATGTAGTAGCTGCTCATTGAGATTCCAGAGACACCGCAGGACAGAGTCACTGATTCCCTTTTCAAGGGAACTCGAGCTGCGTCGAGACGCTGTGGGAACGCCCCTGCGTGATTGCGTCGTGAAGCACGTGTATAATCAGTCCAATGGAGAGACGAGACGTCATAGGCGGGTGACATCATCAACCAGGAAACTATAAAGCACACCTGACAACAGACCGCGTTAGCTTCTGTGCCTTCAGCAAGCGCTCTGTGTGATCTTGTCTCTGTCTATTTATTGTTGTTTGTCCACAAACATATATATATATTTATATATTAGACAGGAGTATGGAGAGCAAATAGCCTTGGATCGTGTGTTCGTCCCTGCCCTCGCTTCATTACGAGTGGGGACACACGCGATTCATGTGACTGTTTGGGAGTAGAACATGCACGGTCAGCTCTAGTAAATTGGGGCTGACAGTGTTCATTCATAAATTCCCGGCGTGTAACATATGCACTATCGAGAGTTTTAGCTCTGCTCTTGTTGGCTTTCTTCTCGAGGGAAGAAAGTCAATAAATATTTGGCTCGGATCTCGCGTTTGCCGAGGCAGCGCGTAGATTACGGGTCTGCAATAAAGATTCTGTGACTCGATCTCGGATCTCGCGTGTGCCGAGGCAGCGCGTAGATTACGGGCTGCATAAGAGTCGTGGCTCAGATCTCGCGTTTGCCGAGGCAGCGCGTTGATTATGGGTCTGCATCTCTACAATAAGAATCTAAGCTCAGATCGCGTGCTTGCAGAGGCAGCACGTAGATTATGGGTCTGCATATCTGCATAATAAAGTGGCTCTTCTCACGTTTGCCGAGGCAACGTGTAGATAATGGTCCGCAATGTATAGGCTAATATGCGCAGGGAACTGAGCAGACGGGAAATTTCCCTTTCTCTCGTTCTCTGATGATTGTTTGAAAACTCATATTTTATTCTTTATTGTTTGAGATTGTAATATGAGGTCTATATTAATACACAATATTCAGCCTTTAAACTAGACCGTTTCTACTTGTCTGGTTGATATTTGGCTGCATTTAATTTTTGAGAAAATTAAATATGTACTCATCTAATCTTTGAGTTAAATGTCTGTATTTATATACTATTCAGCTTTTTCATCCAGACCGTTTCTACTTGTCTGGTGGATATTTGGCTGCATTTAATTTTTGAGGAAATTAAAGGTGCTCTAAGCGATGTCACGCGTTTTTTAGGCCAAAACATTTTTTGTCACATACAGCAAACATCTCCTCACTATCCGCTGGCTGCCTGTCCCCTGAACACACTGTAAAGAAACGCGATCTCTGTAGACAGCCCAGGCTCCACAAACAGCAACAAAAGCAAACTGCAGCGACCCGCTCCCCAAAACATAACAAACTGTTCCAGCCAATGACCAACAAGAAGGGTTTGGGGGCGGGGTTTGGGGGGTTAGTGTGCGGATGAGGAGGAGGGAGGGTCTAGCTAGCCTCCGTTTTGTTTGACAATAGATCGAACGTCAACAAGAAGTGACGTCACCCAGGATCGCTTAGAGAACCTTTAAATATGTACTCATCTAATCTTTGGGTTAAATGTCTGTATTTATATACTATTCAGCTTTTTCATCCAGACCGTTTCTACTTGTCTGGTGGATATTTGGCTGCATTTAATTATTGAGGAAATTAAATATCTACTCATCTTATCCTTGGAGTTTGATGTCTGTATTAATATAGGCTACCTTTCAGCTTTTTAATCCAGACCATTTCTACTTGTCTGGTTGATATTTGGCTGCATTTAATTTTTGAGGAAATTAAATATGTACTCATCTAATCTTTGAGTTAAATGTCTGTATTTATATACTATTCAGCTTTTTCATCCAGACCGTTTCTACTTGTCTGGTTAATATTTTGCTGCATTTAATTTGAGAAAATTAAATATGTACTCATCTTATCCTTCAAGTTAGATGTCTGTATTAATATAGGCTACCTTTCAGCTTTTTCATCCAGACCGTTTCTACTGGTCTGGTTGATATTTGGCTGCATTTAATTGGAGAAAATTTAAATATGTACTCATCTGATCTTTGAGGAGTCATTTATTTCTGAGGAAATAAATGGTTGTTCCCAGTAGGAAATGGATAACACCTCATTATATGGTGCCCATCTCCCTTCGGTAAGAGGGGTCAGTTCGGTTATTTCCTGCCGGTCATCCGTTTCAGGACGCAGGATGGCTTCTCAAACTATACTAGAGACCAGTCTCGAGAGGCTGGTTCCTTTTAGTAGTCTCAGCCGTAGTCATTTTGGGATAAGACATATCTGAGGATAGTCGTTATCTAGTTAAAGGCTTCGACTAAGAAGAAGTCCTGACGCTGAGGCAATCAGGCTTCTGAGGGTGGCCCCTCAGAAGCGGTCGCAGCGCTGTCAGTTCGGTTGTTCCCTGCCGGTTCGCCGTTTCAGGGCACCGAGGTGTCAGCGTCCCCAAGCGATCCTCCAAGGAGGTTCATAGAACAGTCAGTTCGGTTTTCCCTGCCGGTTCGCCGTTACAGGGCACCGAAGTGGCTGTTCGACCAATACCAGAGGCCAGTCTTGAGAGACTGGTCCCCTTAGTAGATTTTCTGGCAGCGTGGAAGCTACTGTCAAATATATCTCGCTGGGTCCTGCTCACTACAGAAAAGGGTTACAGAATTCAGTTCGGTTCTCATTCACCCATATTTCTAGGGGTCCTCCCTACGGTGGTGGACCCCGAACAGGCTCTGGTTATGTTATCATTCCTGGGAAGCGACTCTCTGAGGAGGGTCGCAGCGCTGCCAGTTCGGTTGTTCCCTGCCGGTTCGCCGCTTCAGGGCACCGAGGTGTCAGCGTTCCCGAACGATCCTCCGAGGAGGGTCGTAGAACAGTCAGTTCGGTTGTTCCCTGCCGGTTCGCCGTTACAGGGCACCGAAGTGGCTGTTCGACCAATACCAGAGGCCAGTCTCGAGAGACTGGTCCCCTTAGTAGATTTTCGGGCAGCGTGTAAACTACTGCCAAATATATCTTGTTGGGTCCTGCTCACTAAAGAAATGGTTTCAGAATTCAGTTCGGTTCTTCCGCCTAGATTTCTAGGGGTCCTCCCTACGTGGTGGACCCCGAGCAGGCTCTGGTTATGGAACAAGAAGTACTGACACTTCTTCAAAAAGGAGCTATAGAAAGGGTTTCTCCTCCCAGCAGAGACTCAGGGTTTTACAGCCGTTACTTCATTGTTCCAAAGAAGGATGGATGCTTACATTCAAACAGATTGTGTCACAGATTCAGTCCGAGGACTGGTTTGTCACGATAGATTGAAGGACGAGTCATTCCATGTAGCCATCCGTCCTCCACACAGGAAGTCCCTGAGGTTCGCTTTCGGGGGCGAAGTTTACCAATATCGGGTTCTTCTCTTCAGCCTAGGTAAAGCTAGGCTAGTCACTCACTGCGAAACAGTTTCAGAGACTGGTGGGTCTCATGGCAGCTGCGTCCAACGTAATGACTTTTGGCCTCCTGTACATGAGAACCCTGCAGTGGTGGCTCAGGACCAAGGGGTTTTCTCCGAGGGGAAATCCGTTTCGCATGATCAAGGTCACGCGGCGATGCCTACGTGCCTAAGTCATGTGGAACAAACCTTGGTTCCTCGCCCAAGGCCCAGTGCTGGGGGCTTCTTGTCGACGCTTACGCTATCGACGGATGCTTTCCTCACAGGTTGGGGGGCGATCATGAGTGGTCGCTCGGCGAAAGGTCTTTGGCAGGACCATCTACTTTCTTGGCATATAAATCGGCTAGAAATTATGGCAGTGTTTCGATCTCTCAAGCACTTCCTGCCAGACCTGTGAGGTCACCATGTGCTTGTCTGCACGGACAACACACATCGGTGGTCTCTTACATAATCCAGGAGCAGACATCCTGTCGAGGCAGGGGCCGAGGCCAGGGGAATGGAGACTCCACCCCGAGGTGGTGGAGCTCCTATGAATAACTTTGGTGCAGACGTGGCCGAGGTCACGTCTGTACGCTTTTTCCCCGATCTCTCTGCTCCAGGGAGTTCTGGAGAGAGTTCGCCGGGACGGGGCCCATCTTCTGTTATTAGCCGCTCGGGGGGGACTTTTTCTCTCAGTCGAGCGGGTTGATCTCCCCCCCCCCCCCCCCCCAAGGCGGCCTTAACTGCTTACCATGTCCCTTTAAGTGGTGTATCCTTGGGAAGACACCCTGAAGTACGTTTCCTTCGTGGCACTGTGAGGCGTCTGACCAAGATACTAGGAGTATGGCTGCCTCAAAGGCTATGACTTGGATCTAGGCTCCACTCCAGGGTCTAGGGTGCTTGCTTCTTATGCTTCTTGCTTCTTGCTTGCAATGACTTCACACAGAACAGGCATTTGCTATTATGGCGTAGTGGGTATAGTGTTCCCACAGCGTCTCGACGCAGCTCGAGTTCCCTTGTAAGGGAACGTCTCAGGTTACGACTGTAACCCTGGTTCCCTGAGAGGGAACGAGACGCTGCGTCGCCCTGCCATACTCCCTGCATGCCTGTGATCGACTTGCTTCGGCCTATCAGAAGCTAACGCGGTCTGTTGTCAGATGTGCTTTATAGTTTCCTGGTTGATGACGTCACCCGCCTATGACGTCTCGTCTCTCCATTGGACTGATTATACACGTGCTTCACGACGCAATCACGCAGGGGCGTTCCCACAGCGTCTCGACGCAGCGTCTCGTTCCCTCTCAGGGAACCAGGGTTACAGTCGTAAACTGAGACGTTCTCCTGGTCTTTTCACCACAGAATCTGAGGAGCTCAAAGACTGACCACTAACAGAGGAAAAATCACATTAGATGATTTAGAACAATGAAATAATAAGCATCTACTACAAATGGGAGTTTCTCACATGCGATAATCATCAGTAGGAGTCCATATAGTAGCATCTCCATTACAACAGAAACACTGTCAAACTAAAAGGCAGTAAAACAGTAATAGGTTACACTGCAGCTGTTTTAGTCTCTGGTCACATGCTTATAACACAATCTTTCAAGAGACAGGGAGACGTTGACCCTTCCCACAAAATAATTTGCATCTTTTTGAGGTTTGCAGACTTACACTGTATAGTATCTGAATATCTAAATGTTTTTAAAGTAAATGAGGGAAAAAATCTTAACTTGTATTTGATAAATGATAAAAATTTGATATTGACCCAATATGTCCTGTTATTTTCAACAGTCCAGTTTTTCGCTCAGGAAGAATTTTTATTTATTGCTTTGATACCAGAGGCATTCATTGGAAAGGATAGTGTGTCTCACTCATTCATTGTGTCAGTAAGGCTCTGAGAGTATGATTCATAATATATATATATATATACACTCACCGGCCACTTTATTAGGTACACCTGTCCAACTGCTCGTTAACACTTAATTTCTAAGCAGCCAATCACATGGCGGTAACTCAGTGCATTTAGGCATGTAGACATGGTCAAGACAATCTCCTGCAGTTCAAACCGAGCATCAGTATGGGGAAGAAAGTTGATTTGAGTGACTTTGAACGTGGCATGATTGTTGGTGCCAGAAGGGCTGGTCTGAGTATTTCAGAAACTGCTAATCTACTGGGATTTTCACGCACAACCATCTCTAGGGTTTACAGAGAATGGTCCGAAAAAGAAAAAACATCCAGTGAGCGGCAGTTCTGTGGGCGGAAATGCCTTGTTGATGCCAGAGGTCAGAGGAGAATGGCCAGACTGGTTCGAGCTGATAGAAGGGCAACAGTGACTGAAATAACCACTCGTTACAACCGAGGTATGCAGCAAAGCATTTGTGAAGCCACGACACGCACAACCTTGAGGCGGATGGGCTACAACAGCAGAAGACTCCACCGGGTACCACTCATCTCCACTACAAATAGGAAAAAGAGGCTACAATTTGCAAGAGCTCACCAAAATTGAACAGTTGAAGACTGGAAAAATGTTTCCTGGTCTGATGAGTCTCGATTTCTGTTGAGACATTCAGATGTTAGAGTCAGAATTTGGCGTAAACAGAATGAGAACATGGAACCATCATGCCTTGTTACCACTGTGCAGGCTGGTGGTGGTGGTGTAATGGTGTGGGGGATGTTTTCCTGGCACACTTTAGGCCCCTTAGTGCCAATTGGGCATCGTTTAAATGCCACGGCCTACCTGAGCATTGTTTCTGACCATGTCCATCCCTTTATGGCCACCATGTACCCATCCTCTGATGGCTACTTCCACCATGTCACAAAGCTCTAATCATTTCAAATTGGTTTCTTGAACATGACAATGAGTTCACTGTACTAAAATGGCCTCCACAGTCACCAGATCTCAACCCAATAGAGCATCTTTGGGATGTGGTGGAACGGGAGATTCGCATCTTGGATGTGCAGCCGACAAATCTGCGGCAACTGTGTGATGCCATCATGTCAATATGGACCAAAGTCCCTGAGGAATGCTTCCAGCACCTTGTTGAATCTATGCCACGAAGAATTGAGGCAGTTCTGAAGGCAAAAGGGGGTCCAACCCGTTACTAGCATGGGGTACCTAATAAAGTGGCCGGTGAGTGTATATATATATATATATATATATATATATATATATATATATATATATATATATATATATGTATAGATATATATAGATATATATAGATATAGATATATTAATATTATGCATTTGGAATGATAAATACATTTAGCATATTTTTAAAATAATTTCTCTAATGTGTCTTGAGTAAGAAAAAGAAGACAAACTTATAACTGTTTATTGCAAATATTTTGAACAAAAACCTTTTCATCGTTTACAAAGGCCTATACCTTGCACAATCTGCGAAAAAAGAATAATTAAAAAATTATAATTATTATTTAGTTCTGCCCTGGTAAAGCTTATTTGCATAAAAGATGTTTACATGGTGTACAAAATACAAAATAATAATAATAAAACAATAATAATGGGATTTACACAAAAATCGCCCAGTTCAAACTTGTAACTTTTATTTTTAATAACCAAAGAATGTGATGCAGGACATCCAGGAAATGACACAGAATTAAGAATCAACTTAAGCATACATTGAACATGTACTGGTAATTTTCTGCCAGGACATTATCCAGTAATTTTACTGAAATGTCCATTAACCCTTAAGCAATGTGTAATTCAAAATACAGGTAAAACAATACAGGAAATCCCTTCATATTTATACAGTACATTGTCCCCTATTTTTAGTCTTTTTTTACAGTGTTTGTAAACTTTTTAATGGGGTATTAATATCAATTCAGATGTTATTTTTTTTCTTGTGGATTATATTTGTTATTGTGCATCAATGTATCAATGGTTTGACTGCATCTGACTAGAGTGTGATTGTGAAACAGTTGTTATTTTCTCATGTGATAGTCAGTGGGATTTCCTGAGAAGCGATCACAAATGAGGTGATCAGAAGCCTCAGAAAACTGCTCAGAAAAACGTCCAGTTACGCCAGAGGGCTGAAGAACAATAAATCCCATAAAGAACGATAAAAAGTGCTGAGCTAGGATGTCTGTGATGGAGAGTTCAGAGGTTGTGTGCCACTGGGCCTGCTAGAGAAATATGCCGAACTATATGCATATGGTCCATCAAACTAGTATTTGAAGCAGCTGGTTGTGATTCCACATTTATCTGCCTTGGAGGCTGGATTTGCAGCGTATCAAGATTCATTTAAAGAATCATGGATTTATAGGTGCATATGGTGCATGTTTGGTTTATTATTTTGAAAATCATACTGTATCTTCAGCTTTTTTGTTAAAATAAGCTCCATATTGACAGCATATTAAAGGTAATTAAGTTTTAGTGGCAGAAAGGTAATTAGAAAAAAAATCCAGTCCATTATTAATATAAGAAAATGTAGGCTAGACTGAACAGATATTTCATACTGAGACATACTGTTGGAAACAGACAAGTCAGTATTGATTTACTGAGTTAAGCAAAAATGATTCGAAATAAGGAATCATTTTAATATTAACATGTTTTTGCATTTAATACTTTCAAAACACATCAGACAGGCCTTATGTCACTTCAGAGGCTCTTCCCTTTTTTCAGTGTAACTCAACCATGTCCACCTCATTTCTCATGAGTTTTTGAACAGCTGCCTGTATTAGTGTTTCCACAGTGTCTCTTGCACAGTAATACACTGCAGTGTCTTCAGTCTTCAGCTGATTCATGTGCAGATAGAAATTAGAGCTGTCCTTCGTTGCTGTGAACCTGCCCTGGACTGACTGAGCTGAGCTCTTAGAAGAATCTGAATAATAATAAATAATCCATTCCAGTCCTTTCCCAGGTGCCTGGCGGATCCAATACATGTAAGTGCCACTAAGAGTGAATCCACTACATGCACAGGTCAGTTTGTGGGAACCTCCTGGAGCCACAACTACTGACTGTTCAGACTGTTTGAGCACAACCTGAGAGTCAATACCTACAGAGACCAACACAAAAGAAAATGCTTTACACAGAATCACAATACTGATCAAATTGAATTGGGTTTAACATTTCAACTCCCTAAAACTTCTTAAACAAAACCCCACTTAACTCCTTCAGAATTTTTTTAAATATAAAAAACACTCACTGTGTGCAGTTGCCATCAGCAGAAAGAGCTTTAGGGAGAACATTTTTTTCCTCTTCAGATTGAACACTCATTTACTAGTTGTTTAAATAGGAAATATGACAGTTGAGTTTGCATTGATATATTTACTCACTGACAGAGTAGAGAGTAGGTGTGTTCAAACAAAACTGGTTCTTCACAATCACCAGTTATTCATTTAATGAGAAAGGGTGCACCCTTCTGGTGTCTGAATTATTTTTAATGGTAACACTTTACAATAAGGTTCATTAGTTAACTACATTAGTTAGCATTAACTAATAATTAACTGCACTTATACAACATTTATTAATAGGTATCAAGGCCCATACGACCAGAGGTATGGCCTCGTCATGGGCTTGGTCATCTGGCATTCCCATTAGTGATATATGTGTTTCTATAATAGGAAAGGGCCTTCCCTGCAGGCGAAGGTGCCTTCGGTATGATTAAGACCCGTCGGTGGCCGGTCTTGTCATATATTACTGTGCACTATCACATTCACATATACACTCACCTAAAGGATTATTAGGAACACCTGTTCAATTTCTCATTAATGCAATTATCTAATCAACTAATCACATGGCAGTTGCTTCAATGCATTTAGGGGTGTGGTCCTGGTCAAGACAATCTCCTGAACTCCAAACTGAATGTCAGAATGGGAAAGAAAGGCGATTTAAGCAATTTTGAGCGTAGCATGGTTGTTGGTGCCAGACGGGCCGGTCTGAGTATTTCACAATCTGCTCAGTTACTGGGATTTTCACGCACAACCATTTCTAGGGTTTACAAAGATTGGTGTGAAAAGGGAAAAACATCCAGTACGCGGCAGTCCTGTGGGCGAAAATGCCTTGTTGATGCTAGAGGTCAGAGGAGAATGGGCCGATTAATTCAAGCTGATAGAAGAGCAACTTTGACTGAAATAACCACTCGTTACAACCGAGGTATGCAGCAAAGCATTTGTGAAGCCACAACACGCACAACCTTGAGGCGGATGGGCTACAACAGCAGAAGACCCCACCGGGTACCACTCATCTCCACTACAAATAGGAAAAAGAGGCTACAATTTGCAAGAGCTCACCAAAATTGGACAGTTGAAGACTGGAAAAATGTTGCCTGGTCTGATGAGTCTCAATTTCTGTTCAGACATTCAGATGGTAGAGTCAGAATTTGGCGTAAACAGAATGAGAACATGGATCCATCATGCCTTGTTACCACTGTGCAGGCTGGTGGTGGTGGTGTAATGGTGTGGGGGATGTTTTCTTGGCACACTTTAGGCCCCTTAGTGCCAATTGGGCATCGTTTAAATGCCACGGCCTACCTGAGCATTGTTTCTGACCATGTCCATCCCTTTATGGCCACCATGTACCCATCCTCTGACGGCTACTTCCAGCAGGATAATGTACCAT